CTTCACATTTACTATGCTCCTGTGGCCCGTGGCAGTCACTTGACACCATCCTCTGGTCATGGCTCAATATATTAACAAACCACTAGAAGTTAGTCCACATACCCATCAGATTGAATTAAAAAGATGTGTGGGAGTTGTCTTTTTTTTTTTTTCCTTTTTGTCTTTTTTACTGACCGGTAACGGGATCGCAGCCCTCGGTGTCACGCCCATACCGGGGACCGGCAACGGGATCGCAACCCTCGGTGTTGCGCCCGCACCACGCTCAGCCAGTGAGCGGGAACCGGTCTCCACATGGGATCCGAACCCTCGGCAGGAGCGCCACCGCGCTCCCAAGTGGCGCCACCGGGCCGGCCCGGGAGTTGTCTTATGATAGGAATTATGGGCAAGCTATTATGGAATTAGATAGGAGGGCCTGGCCTTTTTTCACACAGAGAATACAAACTCATGGATTCTTTAGGGGTGGTCATATCTGTTGTTATTCCCTCATTTTAGGATAAAAAGGGTGAAATATATTTCAAACATTTGAATTGCCTGATTTCTCAGAAGATAACCCAAAGGAAATGTACAGTCCTCTCCTAACTAAAAAGGTTTTCGATTAATGATACTTAGCAAGGCATTTTTACAAGGAAACCAGTAAGAGTTTATCCTCTGCCTGACCTTAGCAAAGCAGACACTTAAAGACTGAGGGTGATAGAGGGCTTCCCAGGTTGGAGGTGGGATAGAGATATGTTTTTAGAATGTTGGTCATCGTGTTTGAGCTGTCTATGAGAGAAAAGGCAGGCAGAGGAGGATGCCAGAGGAAGGGAGAGGGCATCCTAAAGGAAAGAGGGTGTTTCTCTTCTACCCAAGGCCACTTATCTGGGAGAGGAATAATGCAGGTTCAGAGCCCCTGCCCCTGTCTGGTCTTCTGGGATTCTTAAAGGATTTCTCTGCAGTTACCCAATCTAGGAATAATATAACAAGGACTAGAGCTAGTTCAGTGTCCATTTCACTGTGCCCAAATAGACTTTTTTAACTTTGTAGAAAGCTCTAAAGTCAGGTTCTATCTCTGCCACTTTGAAGCTACATAATTTTGGGCTTACCTTTCTTTTTTTTTTTTTGTCTTTTGTCTTTTTCCGTGTCCGGCAACGGATCGCAACCCTCAGTGTTGCCCCCGTACCGGACTGGGGACCGGCAACGGGATTGCAAACCTTGGCGTTGCTCCCGCGCCTCGCTCAGCCAGTGAGCGGGAACCGGTCTGTATGTGGGATCCGAACCCTCGGGCGGGAGCGCCGCCGCGCTTCCCAAGCGGCGCACTATCCAGTGCGCCACTGGGCCGGCCCGATAATGTGAATTATATGAGAGTGTAACTAAATTGCTAAATGTAGTGTTTGGCACATCATGGGTATTCTATAAATGGTTTACTGCTGTAATTATATGATTAGCTTTATAAATATAAAGAGTGGTAAAATACGGCTACTGAGAAAACCAGAAATGGGATGTTTGGGAGTGAATGCACCTTGGAGTGGCTCACCCATAGTGCATAGTGCCACTTTTTCACACTGCCTGTTTTCTAGGGTTCAGTCCCACACTGTCCTTCCAGAGCAAGTTTCTCTCACTCCAAATGAATCCCTTCCCTCCTTTTGGTTGGCACCTTTTCTGTGCTCTTGGGAAGGGCCAAGTACATTGATTTTTCCACATTTGTCCCCTCTCTTCCGTCTGTGTAACCCAGCTGCCTGGGCTGAGAGCAGGACTGCTCTGGTGCTCGTTTCTGTTGACCTCCTCTCCTCTCTCCACTTCCTGCTTTATCTGCCCTCTGTCCCAACTCAAACTTGCTTCTCTTCAGTTCACTCTATTGTAGCCACCAGTTAGGTCCTGTTAAGATAAAACCATTTCCTCAGGTCTTGTTATTTATCATTTGCCTGAGAACTGACTGATGGATCTGCTCTTTCTGTTGAGGTTTTGCTTTAATGGAGAGGGGCAGTGTCCATTCCCTTCTACTCAAGGTTCTCTGAAGAGCTTGACACATGATTTGTAGGTTCTCAGTGAATGCTTGTTAAAAAAATTTTAAAAACTGTAATGAATTCCATTGACCCTTGAAAAACAAGGTCATGGGCCGGCCCGGTGGCGCACTGCTACAGTGCGCCGCTTGCGAGCGCGGTGGTGCTCCTGCCGAGGGTTTGGATCCCACATACAGACCGGTTCCCGCTCACTGGCTGAGCGAGGTGTGGGAGCAACACCGAGGGTTGCGATTCCGTTGCCGGACACACACACACACAAAAAAAGACAAAAAGGAAAAACAAGGTCATATATTTCCCTTGGTATGTATCCTTCCTGCCCTGAAGGCAGGGTATTTATTAGAGATTCATTATTTTGTTAAAATTCTCACTGGAGTTTTTAGGATAGAATTTTTGTTTTTGTTTTTGTTTTTTTTTTAAAAGATGACCGGTAAGGGGATCTCAACCCTT